CCACAGTATCATCTAGCACCACCACAGTATGATCAGGTGCCCCAACCACAGTACCCCCTGCCGCCACCACAGTTTAGCCTACCACCACAGTACAATTCGGTGCCTTCATCGTATCATCCAGTACCACCACCGGGCCATCTGGTCCATCCCTAGCATAATCTAGTCCATCTCCCACAGGACCCAGTTCCTCTCATGATGGACTCAAGCTACATTGAGAGGTATAAAAGACTAAATTCATCTACTTTTGCAGGGGAAATCCTCCTTTGAAGAGGCTGAGTACTGGCTAGCTAAGACAAAGAAGGCATTCACGACTCTTGGGGTGATTTCTGAACAGAGAGTCATACTTGCCACCTACATATTAGTGGGAGAGGCAGGCCGCTGGTGGCAACTCAAATAGGCCACCCTGCCCGTTCCAGTCACTTGGGAATAATTATTGGTGGCCTTTAATGCAAAGTACCTCCCAGAGTACATCCGACATCTGAAGGAAATAAAGTTTGCACACCCAGTGCAGGGTGACATGACTGTATCAGAATATACCCGAAAATTCCTAGAGTTGGGTCGGTATTCCCATGAGAGCATGATGGATGAAGGTAGGAAAGCAAGAAAGTTCGAGTGGAGTCTCCGTCCTGAGATCAGACAACAGTTGTATGTGTTCGAACTCAATATTTATTTGACTATTCTGGCCAAAGCACTGCTAGTGGAGAGGAACCTTCGCATCTTCCCTCCAGCTGTAGGGAACCTTAGGCCCTTGGTTTCGCACTGCAGACCAACACTTACTGCACCTGTTCAGCAGAACAAGAGATCTAGACCAATGATTCAGGCTCCTCTTCAGATTCTGACGACAGGACACGGTGGGACTTACCAAGACTTTGGCAAGGATCATGGGGACCGACCTTACTATCGCCTCAACAATACCTACGGCATATGTGGGAGTGCCTAGCATTACGCGAAAAAATGCCTGAGGAATCAGAACTAGGCCAGACCTCCTATTCAGGATAGGACTTACAACCTCACGCAGCAGGATGTAGAAGTTAACCTAGACGTGATATAGAGTACGTACACTATCTGTAATCATCTTGCATATGTTTTGATTGATACTAGTACCTCACATTAATTTGTTTCACATGCTTTTGCATCAAATTTGAATGTATTACCTGAAAAATTTGATTATGTGCTGTTTATGTCCACTCTTAGGAGTATGACACTACTAGGGGATGTTATATACAGAGCCTGTGTCATAGATATGACAGATAGAAAATTAAATGTGGACCTAATAGAGATTGACATGGAGGACTTTGATGTAATTTTAGAAATAAACTGGCTAGCAGCATATTACACCACCGTAGATTGTTTTTATAAAAAGCTTGTATTCAACCATCTTAATGAGAAATCATTTACAAATTAATAAAATTCTTTAACATTTATTCTCTCATGGCAAATTTTTTTATTATCAAGTGTTTTAACCTGGTTATTTTCTTTAACTAGGCAAATCCAAGAAAAAAAATTTGTATTTAAGAGATTTCAGTGGTTCGAGACTTCTCGAATGTATTCCCGGATGAACTACTTGGACTGCCAGTTGACAGAAAAGTTAAATTCACCATAGACCTTCAAGCAGGCACTCAGCTTATTTCGGTTATCCCTTTACTGCATGAATCATGTTGAGATGGAGGAGTTGAAGAAACAAATCAAGGAATTGCAGGATAATAGATTCATCCGATATAGTGTGTCTCTTTGGGTGCCAGAGTCACATTTGCAAGAAAATGAGATGGGACGTTAAGGTTATGTATTGACTACAAAGAACTGAACAAGGTCACGATCAAGAACAAGTACCATTTTTTCAGGATTGATGATCTTTTCGATTAGTTGCAGGGTGTCCAAGTCTTCTCCAAAATATATCTGCGTTCAGGTTACCATCAGGTAAAGATCAAGGCAGAAGACATTCCCAAAACAGCCTTTCGAACCAGCTACGGACACTATAAGTTCCTAATCATACCGTTTGGACTAACCAACGCACCAGACATCTTCGTGGATTTGATGAATAGGATTTTCAGACAATTCTTGAATCAGTTTTTCATTATATTCATTGATGAAAGAGTAGAGAGGAACACGCTCACCATCTGACTCAAATTTTGCAAGTTCTTAAAGAAAAGAAGTTGTATGCAAAGTTAAGTAAGTGTGGGTTTTGACTCGAGCAGACTATCTTCCTAAAGCACATTATATCAACAGATGAAGTGTTAGTGAACTCCGAAAAAGTTGAGGCAGTGCTCGGCTGGAAAAAATTAACCTCGGTCAAGGAGATTCGTAGCTTTCTGGGAATGGCAGGTTATTATCGCAGGTTTGTGGAAGAATTTTCTAATCTAGCTGCTTCCTTAACTTGGTTCACAAAGAAGAACGTTAAGTTCGAGTGGAACGAGAACTGTGAAAGAAATTTTTCAAAGCTAAAGAAGCGGTTGACTACTGCACCTGTGTTGACCTTGCCGAGCGGGATAGGTGGATATACAGTTTATAGTGATGCCTCCTACCTAGGGTTTAGTTGTGTTCTGATACAGCATGTAAAAGTTCATAACCTATGGGTTCAGACAATTGAAGAGTCTTGAGAAAAACTACCCCACCCATGACTTAGAACTTGTCACGATTGTCCATACCTTGAAGACTTAATGCTATTACTTGTATGGGGAGATCTTTCAGATCTATAACGACCATAAGAGCTTGAAATACATATTCACTCAAAAGGATCATAACTTGCATCATAGAAGATGGATAGAACTCCTCAAGAACTATGATTGCAATATCTTGTATCACTCGGGTAAGGGTAATGTGGTAGCCAACGCACTCAGCAGAAAAAATACAAGTATATTAACTCAGTTAATGGTTTCAGAATGCAGGGTAATAGGGGCTGCACAATAGGTACGACTTCAGGACCTGAAGAGAGTCACATGTTTGGTCCACCTGACTGTTCAACCTGAGTTGATCCGGTGAATAAAGGAAGTCCAATCCACTGATTCCACCCTAACAGCCCTCAAGAAAGATGCAAAACAGATAGTTAATTCAGAATTTCAAGTCTCGGTCTATCGGTTGATTAGATTTCAGGATAGGGTATGTGTTCCAGGTGACAGTGAGCTAAAAAGGGACATCATGACAGAGGCCCATAGCTCAAAGTTTGCCATGTATCCCGGAAGCACTAAGATGTATCATAGTATGCGACCCTGATTTTAGTGAAACGGGATGAAAAGAGATATAACTGATTTTGTTTCCAAGTGTTTGTTATGTCACCAAGTCAAGATAAAGCATCAATGCCCAAGCGGGCTACTTCAGCCATTACCAATTTCGAAGTGGAAGTGGAAACATATCACAATAGATTTCGTGATAGAATTGCCTGTGGACTCAGGATATGATGCCATTTGGATAATTGTTAACCGGCTCACCAAGTTTTTCCATTTCTTGGTCATCAAGACGACCGACCCATTAGACAAGCTAGCAAGAATGTATATCTAGGAGATAGTTAGATTACATAGAATGTCAATGACAATAGTGTCCGACAGGTACTCTAGGTTCATTTCTCGGTTCTATTCTAATTTTTAGCGAGGCATGAAATACTTAAAATATAAACAAATTATAAATGAATTAATAATTATATAGACAAGTGAAAATAGGATTTAAGGTAATTAAGTATAATGAGATTATTTATATATTAAGTTAAAAACTAAGCAAATTCGGGAAAATATTAAGGAATTATATATATTTTTATTTAATTAATAAGCCACAAGAGAAGTACTAAAAGGATTTGTTATATATAGAAACCTAATGGAGGAAGTAGCAAGGGTTTCTCCATGAATATCTCATCTAACATTTAACATAAATATAAAAATTAATATCCAGATCTATGATAATTTTTGCATGTATAATTTTATTATAATTTTGTAGAGTTAATCCATTCTGACAGAAGTGGAAAAGAAATCTACTCATGTTGAATAAAAAAAATCTTAAAATTATATGTTTAAAGATTTTGTTGTCTTTTAACTTGGAGTATTTTCCCACAATGTTAAGATTTTGTGTTAGTTTAGATATTTTTTGTATCAGATTTAAATAATATTTATTAAAGATTTTTTTAAAAAAAATATGAGAAAAATACATATATATTGGAAAGTGATTATATATATATATATATTTCTCACTATCAACACAGCTATAATTTTAAATTTTTTTTTTTATTTTTTAATTTAAATATTGATTTATGAAAGCTAATGATAATTTGAATGTGTAGAAAAAGGTTCTCTCCATCTATCATGTTTGAAATATAATTCAAATATAATCGAGATACTCAAGCGAGATATGGCTCGAGCCAAATGGATTTAATCCAGGTTTGATGGCAGCATTACGCTCACATTCAATGCTATAAGCAAACTAGACTGGATGCAATGTGAATCTTGCATTTGTTCAACGACATCAGATCTGACTAAGGATGACTTTGTTGAGAATTTTATCAATGCTGACAAGGAACTAGCTGAAAATGATCTTGTTGAGAAGTTCATCAATGCCTACAAGAATGTGCTGGCTGTTTCATTTGCCACTGCCTGTTGTTTCCCTCATGCTGAACATGTGAAAGAGAACCTAAAGGATCCTAACAAGTATGTTGTTGATGCTGCCAAGGACCAAGGAGGAGGAGAAGAAAGAAGAGCCAAATAAGGAGTTTGATGAAGATGGGAATTTCATTTTGTTTGACTAACTCTATGTTATTATTTATTATAGATTATTATAATAAGCAGTTATTTCTTTTGTTATCTTCTTTGTTCTTTGATTATATTATCTATCTATTGAGAATTAGAAAATATTATAACATAAAAAAAAAAAAAAAAAAACTAGGTATATAAACAAAGATCCAATTTTTTATTTATCAATTTACTTCCTTATTATTCTAACATCAATTTTTTTTTCTGATTTCAGTAGTAGCATAATAGAGAATATTTGAAGACATGTAGAAATATAAATTAGAGGTGGTATATGGTTAGGTATCAATATGACAAAACATTCATTCATCTGTTTGTATCGACGGGTAACATCCCGATATCAAAAAGAGTTTGCTGCATTTCGATAACAACTGATCTCAAGAAAAAGAACATTATGGGTTTACTATTTTGCTCATTTAACATCTCGTATTGTATACTCATACAATTCATGCCTCAAAACTTAATAGTAGCTAGTTCTCTATATTACAGCAACTAAACTCATCCAAAAATGCAGAACAAGAGCAAAACAGAAGAAGATCCAACTAGGTATCCCTCCACCAAAGCTATGTATCAATTAATTTTGTAGGCATTCTGGTTCATGGTCCGACTCCAGAAGATCTTGAATTGGTCGTTTAATCGTTTCTATGATATAATAAAAGAATGAGCTACACGGCTCAGTAATATCAATTCAAACTAAAACCAATAGAATAGAAATAAATGTGAATAAACTCTCCATTTTCATCAAACTTCTCTACAATCAGTCTCTTCCCATGCCCCTGTTATTTTCCAACAATGATTCCCTGCTTACTCTCAAAATCGCCCCTCGGGTTTTATTTTTCATTCTCCCCAATTAGTTTTTTTTTTCTCTCTCTCTCTCAGCCTGAACAACTCTCTGCTTCCTCTCTGTTTCTTGCATCATTCCATTTTCATTCCTTCAAATATGGTTTTGCAGCCTCATTGTTTCCTCTTCTCCAATCTTGCCTTGTTCTCTTTTTTTGTTTATTTTTATTTTTTTTCTCACTGTTTCCCTCTCTCTGCCTTTCTATTACTATTATTATTATTCTCTTTTCCTTACCCTTCAACTCCTCTTCAGACACTCCCTTTCTTCTGCACTACTAGAAAACAAACAGCAGGTTTACTCTTTCTTCCTGACTCCCCCTCAGCAGGATTACTTCTCTTTTTTTTTGTTTGGTTCTCCATATGTTTGTCCCCTTACCATCTCACTCCTCTCCAGACACTCTCTTCAACATTTTCCAAAACGTCCAACAAGACCGTTTACTCCCCTCTGCCTCGACCCAACAGTCTACTCTCTCTCTCTAAAGGTTCCCTTCACACAGCTTCTCCCTTCACCTGCAATTGTTCCAATTCTCTCAGCTGTCCCAAGTCCCCATCTTTATATATATATATATATATATATATATATATATATATTTTTTTTTTTTTTCTTTTTCAGTTTTACCAAAGCATACATACCATATTTCATCCGGAACCTTATTACCCGATTCCACTGTACACATATGTCATCCATACCAGTTCATAATTATAACATTTAACAGCAAATACAAAGCGGACACATGTAATTATTTCGATTCTTCATCGTACACACACACAAACAAACAACACATTAACACTACACTTACTCAGAGTTACAGATTAAACACACACACACCACCAGAGTTACAGATTAAAATAACACACAAACAAACAACACATTAACACTACACTTACTCAGAGTTACAGATTAAACACACACGCACCACCAGAGTTACAGATTAAACACACACGCACCACCAGAGTTACAGATTAAAATATGTTTACCTACAGGAGATTGATTTAGGTATACTGTTTCACCTCTCTTTTTTTTACTCAGTTTCTCTCTGGTTCATCTTAGTGTCTCTTCTCTATTTTCTCTCCTCTCCTCTCCTCTCTTTCTCTTCGGTTCCCGTATCTCTATTTTAGTTTGGTTATCACCCAAATCGGTCGTCAACTATATATCTCTTACTTCCATTTCACTGTAAGTCATTAATCACATCAGTTATTTTTCTATTTCTATCAGTGTATTCAATTTCATCCTACTTTCTTATGAGTTTACCTATTGGTTCGACCGTTCTAAAGTTTTCAAATCTGATTTATTCCAAAATCTCCAAATTAATTTAGTGTTGAAAATCATGGTTGATCCACCTTGATTTATCCTCACTCAACACTGTTCCTACTACAGAACTTCTTCACTCTTCCACAAGATCGACGATACCTAACTCCACCATTTCCCATAATTTTCTTATTATGTTACTGCCATGGAAACATTCTACACCATCGCCTTATAAATATACACAATGCATTTAAGAAACACTCAAGGAACCTAGATTTTATGATCTAGGAAATTTATTAACATTTACTTGCTGATTCGGGTTTCAAGAATGAATTAGTCTTACCTCCTTGCTCTCTCAGTCGATGCGATTGTGAAGCTCCCTCCTCGTTTGCCCTTCATCTGGCCTTAATGACAGCAGCTCCCTCTCTTCCTCCTCTAATACCCACAGCAAGTCGCGCACAATTTCCTCTCCTTCCACTATAACTCGGCTCCTACTTCTTTTATAGCTAGAATAAATCAATACTGGCCATCCACTCTTAACTAAATCTAGGCCATCCATGTCTGCAACACTTATCCAGCACCCTACGATCTGCCTCCTCAGTCTCACATGGCACCATCTGGGTCGTTCCTTGTTCCACTGGTACTCTCTGATGTTGTTAGAATACATGGCTACTGCTGGCTCGTCAGTGTTTACCTCGCTGACTCACCCCTATTTGTGAAAATTTCATTTTTTTCCTTTTGGTCATCCTTTTCTATTTAAGTCCCTTTTTTTTATTTCCAAAAATACCCATATTATTTCCTATTATTTTGTGGATCAAGATTTGCTGAGATTAAATTTCATTGATTTTCTAATAATAGAACTTATTATTTACATCCCGTTTTCTTTGGAGACACTAAAATGCTAACATTTTCAGGATGTTACAATATCCTCCCCTAAAAGGAATTCGGTCCACCAAATTACTACGTCCCTTGAAAAGGTTAGGGATGGCTCACCTTCATCACATCTTCATGCTCCCAGGTTGCTTCCCCCCCGGAGTGATGTTGCCATAATACTTTTACTATTGGTATTGTTCAGCCCCTTAACGTCCACACCTATATTACAAGTATGCATATGGGTTGCTCTTTGTAGGTTAGGTCTTTCTCTAAGGCAAGTGACTCATGTTGTATTTCGTGTGAAGGATCTGGGTGATACTTGCAGAACATTAACACGTGGAACACATTATAGATTCCAATTACTTCTAGTGGAATGTTATCTTGTAAGCAGTTATAGCAATTAGCACTTCAAAAAGCCCAATGAATTGAGGGTTTTGTTTTTCTTTCTTTCCGAATGTCCAGCAACCTTGTATTGGTGATACCTTCAAAAACACATGGTTGCCTACCTCAAAAATATAGAATTTCCTCCAGTTGTATGCATAACTTCTTTGTTTATTTTATTTAGTTTGTAGATTTTTTTTCTTAAAATCATTGGTGCCTTTTTAATGATTTCTTTTACTAGATTGAGACTAATTATCTTCCTTTTTCCAACTTCATCCCAACATATTAGTGATCTACACGATCTACTATAGAGTGCCTTATAGGGAGCCATTTTAATCTCAGAGATTTTAGAAGCTATGGGGGTCAGATGGAACTTCGTTATAGATCTCTTCAAATTTATTTTGTTTCCACTGGAGACTATTATTTTGGATTATGTTGAATCCAAAAATTCATTAGAGTCCAATATCTCCCGGTAATGATTTATGCGATTGTTACCATCATCCAACAATGTCTGAAAGCTTTATATCCTGGTTTGTAACATCATGAAGAGTTTCTTATTACATCCTAATTTCAGCACAAGAATAAATTTTAATTATTTGAATAACCTCAATGACAAGGCATGTTTACAACCAGTCAAATATCATGTGTCTTGTTTAAGTTATTGATCCTTCCACTTTTGGAAATTAATACGTGATTACTTAGAATATACCTATTCTATGGTCTTAAGCTATGTCCCACAAGTTTATCATATCATTAATTTGTCGTTGTTGGTTTGGAGATGAATCTCTCGTGGGTTGGTGTGTTACTGTCCTCCACGCTTTCGTTGCACTACTCTAATAATGTCTACTTTAGAGGTTTGTTTTAATATGTTAGTAAATTATATAATTTTTTTGTTCTTGTTATATATAAAGTAATTGTATTCTGGGTTTATCTTTATATTATTAAGGACTTATTGTCCGAACATGTCCCTAGGACAATCTCCTTCCTCGAAAATTTATTTTGGAAGGAACAAAAAGTGTCAGGAAGAAGAGTTCTAGTTAGGTGTACTCTGTCTCATCCAATACAAAAATCTTTCTATCTATCAAGTAGAGGATGACTTAATGCCTAAGGGTTTCTGAACCAATAGTATAACTCTTATATGGCATCTCAATGAGAATTTAAACAAGTAGGATATTTAGTTTTCAAAAAAAAAAAGGAAGGTCATGATGAATCTCAAAATCTATTCAAGTCTCAAATGGTTATTCAATCTGCTGAATGTTGTTTTAATATTAGGTCTACTGGTCTTAGGAACTGTATTTTCTTCGAGTTTGAAGTGGATTTTGGAAGGTCTTAGTTAGATGTACTTTATTTCATTTACTATAAGCGATTCATATTTGCTAAGTACACGTTTTATTCAATTTTCCAAAACATTCTTATCCACAAAGTGTGTGGTTATTCAGTGACTTAGAATTCTAAGTCATTATTGTAAGCCCTGTGTGAAACTTTGATAAGATTTTAAACAGGCATGGTGACCATTCTTCTTAAAGGGTATTCATGCTAACTCCTCAAAAGCCATCAAAGTCTTGATATTTATTTGGTCTTCCAACATGTTTGATATATTTACTTGCTTTAACATTTGCCTTTCCTTCTTCCTTATCATCCCATTCATCATTGATTTCGAGTTCTTCAAACTCATCGTCGCCCTTGAAAAAATCAATTTATGACCCTCGAATGTAAGCTATGAGAATCAACAATTAAATAGCACCAATCTCCAGAGATGATAAATAAAATCTGAAATTCGCGGTAAGTGTAAACATGATACTTCATATGGCTAATATATTAAACATGCTAGAGCCAGACCTTTAAACATCACGTTCACTTTTAGACATTTGTTTTCTGCCATACTTCATATACCCAATATATAAAAACCAAAATTTGTTACTTTTACATCTTTTCTCATGTTCATATGTCTAAATAAAGAAAAACTATTTGTTTCCTAAATTTTTGGAAAATTAAAATGTGAATAATTTGGAAACTATTTTCCATAGTCTAAAGTCGATATAACCTTTAATTACCACTAAAACATATGAATCACTCTAATGACTTTGGAATTCTAAACAATAAATATATTTTTGTATGAATCACGAAACTCTATGATTAAGTGTCTCTGGATGACTACACAATGGTTTTATTGGTATGTGTTCTACTTCCATCTTCACTTAGGGGTCAAATATACTTTTACCTTCTTGGTGAGTGCCACTAGTTAGCCCTCAATTTACCGCAGACAATACAATTGTGTGAAGGGATGATCCTCCTCTAATGGGGTTGAAAGTACAAAAGTTCGAAAGGTATGACCAATCGTTCAAATATTTATTTCGTTTCTTTCTAGTCTCTGATGAACTTAGGCCAAAGATTCTTTCAGAGATTCTCCTAGATTATTTGGGTATCTAAGACTTCTCCTCATAGTTTCCTTTAGAATTTGGTTTGCCTCATTTCTCCTTTCTATCCCGAGGTCGAACTTATAACTCACAGTTGTACTTCCTATTCCTTTGTCTGTATTGGGTCAATCTTTTCAATAGTAGCTTAGAACATCATTAATATCTTTTGACATTCTTTGTGTTTGACTATGATTATTATTTATTCATCACCTCTAGTTGGCTTTGGAGTGAAGCCATAATTCCTTGATCTTAAATTTATCAAATTCTAACCCATGCAGATCCTACTTTTAGGATTTTGAAATGTCATACGGTCCCGTTTTCTTATCATTGTCTCCTATGTGTACATACTTTTTACTTCTCAATCTAACCTTCTTTAAAAATATTTCTAAAGGTTTGTAGTTTCGAGACTTCATATAATCCTATAGAATCCTAAGTTTTATGTAACAAGGGATGCTCTAAGAACATTGCTCTGATACCAATTGTAACAACGCACATTATTCAAGACATCAATATGACAAAACATTCATTCATCTGTTAGTATTGGCGAGTAACGTCCCAATGTCAACAAAAGTTTTCGTATTTCAATAACAACCCATCTCAAGTAAAAGCATATTATGCGTCTACTATTTTGCTCATCTAACATCTCGTATAGTATACTCATACAATTCATGCCTCACAAAACTTAACAGTAGCTAGTTCTCTCTATTACAGTAGCTAAACTCATCTGAAAATGCATAATAACAGTAAAACAGAAGAAGATTCAACTAGTTATGTATCAATTAATTCTGTATGCAATCTGGTTCATGCTCCGGCTCTGAAAGCTCTTGAATCGGTCCCTGTTTAATCGTTTCTATAATATAATAAAAGAATGAGCTATACGGCCCAGTAAAATCAATTCAAACTAAAATCAACATATTAGAAATAAACATGAATAAACTCCCCATTTTCATCAAACTTGTCCACAATCAGTCTTTTCCCATGCCCCTGTTATTTTCCAACAGCGATTCTCAGCTTACTCTCAAAATCGCCCCTCGTCGGGTTTTATTTTTCATTCTTCGCAATTAATTTTTTCTCTCTCTCTCTCTCGGCCTGGACAACTCTCTGCTTCCTCTCTGTTTCTTGCATAATTCCATTTTCATTCCTTCAAAGCTGGTTTTGCAACCTCATTGTTTCCTCTACTCCAGTCTCTTCTGGTTTTTTTTTTTTTTCATTTTCATTTTTTTCCTTTTTTTCTCATTGTTTCCCTCATCATCAGCCCCTCCTTCCTCTGCACTATCCAGTAACCAAGGTTGGCTCCCTCTCTCTCTACCTCTCTATTATTATTATTATTATTATTTTTTCTTTTCCTTACTGTTCTACTCCTCTTCTGACACTCTCTCTCTTCTCCTCTGCCAAAAAACAACATCACGTTTACTCTCTTTTCCTGCCTCACCTTCAGCAGGATTACTTCCCCTCTTTTTTTTTGTTTGGTTCTCCATATGTTTGTCCCCTTACCATCTCACTACTCTCCAGACACTGTCTTCAACACTGTTCGAAACGTCCACTAAGACCATTTACTCTCTCTCTAAAGGTTCTCTTTACACAGCATCTCCCTTTGCCTACAACTGTCCCGATTCTCTCAGTTGTCCCAAGTCCTTACCTTCATATATATTGATTTAGGTATACTGTTTCACCTCTCTTTTTTTTTTTAACTCAGTTCCTCTCTGGTTCACCTTAATGTCTCTTCTTTGTTTTCTCTCCTCTCCTCTCTTTCTCTTCAGTTCCACCATCTCTATTTTAGTTTGGTTATCACCCAAATTGGTCGTCGACTAGATATATTTTACTTCCATTTCTCTGTAAGCCATTAATCACATAAGCTATTTATCTATCTTTGTAAGTGTATTCATATTCATCTTGCTTCCTTATGAGTTTTTACCAATTGGTTACACCGCTCTGCATTTTTCAATTCCCATTTGTTCCTAAATCTCCAAATTAATTTAACGTTAAAAATCATGGCTGATCCAATTAGATTTATCCTGACTCAACACCTACTACAGAACTTGTTCACTATTCCACCAGATCGACGATACCTAACTCCTCTAACATTTCCGACTGTGTTACTGCCTTGGAAACATTCTACAACATTGCCTTATAACTATACACAATGCATTTAAGCAACACTCGAGGAACCTAGATTTTATGATCTAGGAAATTTATTAACATTTACTTGTTGATTCAGGTCTTAAGTGTGAATTGGTCTTACCTCCTCGCTCTCTCGGTGTGACTCCGATGCGACGGTGAAGCTCCCTCCTCGTCCGCCCCTCGTTTGGCCTTAACAACGGTAGCTACCCCTCTTTCTCCTCTAATACCCACAGTAGATCGCGCAAAATTTCCTCTCCTCCCACTGCAGCTCGGCTAACCCTTATTTTATAGCTAGAATAAATCAATCTTGACCGTCCATTCTTCACTAAATCTGGACCGTCCACGTCCACAACACTAATCTAACACCCTGCAATCTGCCTCCTCAGTCTGACGTGACAACATCTGGGTCATTCTTGTTCCACTGGTACTCTTAGACGTCGTTTACGCACATGGCTTCAGTTGATTGGCTCGTTAGTGTTTACCTTGCTGATTCACCCTTATATGTGAAAATTCCTTTTTTTTCCTTCTGGTCATCCTTTTCTATTTAAGTCCCTCTTTTTTATTATTTCCAAAAGTACCCAGATTTTTTCCTATTATTTTGTGGATTAGAATTTGCTGAGATATTTAATTTTCATTGATTTTCTAGTAATAGAACTTATTATTTATTTATTATTATATTTTCTTTTACATCCCATTTCCCTTGGAGACACTAAAATGCTAACATTTTCAAGATGTTACAGTATAATAAGGATATCATATGCTCCACCTATGTAGAAGATAATTTTCAATCAAGTTGGCTTTGGACTTACGATTTCAAGACAAAAATAAATGTATTTTTTATAATATAATCGTGGTCTATTTAAAATTTCTAAGATCAAGAATAAGAGAAAAGAAAATTATTGGTGGGTAAAAAGTTAGTAAAATAAGATAATATTCAAGATAATTGTAAAGTTTTATGACTATGTTTTCAGTAAAAATAATAACAAAATTATTGGTTGGTGAATTTTATATTACAAATTATTTTTTAAAATAATAATAAAATTCGGCCCTGGAGCTGTCCTCTCCCGTTCTTTTAAATTCATCCCCATCTGTACTCTCTCTCGTTTGGCCTTAATGATGATAGCTCCCTTTCTTCCTCTTTTAATACCCATAGCAGATCGCGCACAATTTCCTGTTCTTTCATTGTAGCTCGGCTCTCCCTTCTTTAGTAGCTAGAATAAATCAATACTGGCCATCTACTCTTAACTAAATCTGGTCCATCCATGTCTGCAACACTAAACTAGCATCCTGCGATCTGCCTCTTCAGTCTCACGTGACACCATCTGGGTCGTTCCTTGTTCCATGGGGTACTCTCTAACGTCGTTAGCACACATGGCTACAGCTGGCTCATTAGAGTTTACCTTGCTGACTCACCCCTATTTGTGAAAATTCCATTTTTTTCCCTTCTGGTCAGCTTTTTCTATTTAAGTCCCTTTTTTGTTTTTATTTCTGAAAGTACCCTTGTTATTTCCTATTATTTTGTGGATCAAGATTTGCTGAGATATTTAATTTTTATTGATTTCTAATAATAGAACTTATTATTTATTTATCATTATATTTTCTTTCACATCTCATTTCCCTTGGAGACATCAAAATGCTAACATTTTTTGGATGTTACAATATCCCCCATAAAAGGAATTTAGTCCCCTAAATTGCTACATCTCTTCAAAAGGTTGGGGATGGTTCACCTTCATCATATCTTTGTGCTCACAGGTTGTTTTCCCACTGGAATGATGTTGCCATAATACTTTTACTATTGGTATTGTTCGGCCCCTTAACATCCACACCTATCTTTTAAGAATGTGTATGGGTTGCTCTTTGTAGGTTAGGTTTTTCTCCAGCGCAAGTAAATCATGTTGTATTATGTGTGAAGGCTGTAGGTGATACTTGCACAACATTAACATGTGGAACACATTATAGATTACTAATATTTCTAGTGGAAACATTATCTAGTAAGCAGTTATAGCAATTAGTACTTCAAATGGCCCAATGACTTGAGGGTTTTCTTTCTCTTTCTTTCCGAATGTTTGACGGCCTTGTAATGGTGATACTTTCAAAAACACATGGTCGCCTACCTCAAAACATAAAAGATTTACAAGTGGATTAATAAATATGCAAACGAATAAAAATAGGATTCAAGTTAATTAATTATAATGAGATCATTTTTCAATTAAGATAAAAATTAAGCAAAGCTTGGAAAATAAAATGAATTGTATATTTTTTTATTTAATTAATAAGCCACAGTGTGAGTACGTAAAAAATTTACTATATATAGAAACCTGGTGGAGGAAAAAGCATGGCTATTTATGATTATCTCACCTAACATTTATCTTAAATGTAAAAATTAATACCTAAATCAATGATAATTTTTTGAAGTAAATTTTAATATAAATCTACTCATTTTAGGTGACGACCCGCACTACCTAAAGGTCGTCATCTACTACTTAGCATGCAATAATGGTAATTATATAGAGTCAAAATAAAATATTGTATACAACATCCCCTGATTTCATTGTAACATCACTTACAAAAGTATGAGTTCCAAAAATAAAGTCATGACAAAAAATACAATACCAATCAGAGAATAAAATGAAATAGATTCTGACTCAAGCACAAAGTAAGCCCCCTACTAATCTGGTTCAATATCTGAATCCTACTGATATGAAAAGATGATAATATGAACGGAATAAGCTAATCTTCAATATGCTCAGTATGTATACATAGTAGTATTCGCTAAGTTTGCATACACCAACATATAATCAAGCAAGCATGTAAAACTTGTTTTACAATTTTTAATTAAACAGTGATTTTCAAACAAGTATTTTAATTATTTTCCTATTTGGTTATGACTTCATTATTCGCATTGTACAATTGAATTTCTTTAAATTTACTTGATATTGGATGTGAGCCTAAGGATTTCTAATTCACACTAATGATTTTCGTACCTAAATGTGGTGTTACTAACAAAACTAGTACTGTGACATCTCAAATTCAAATTAAGGCATAAAGGTATTAGATACAGAAACATATTACCAGTGCATGATAAAATTGTATGCAGTTGAGCAAATTATTACAAATCTCTTACCAAAATATATTAGTTCTAAATTACACGTATATATAATTGAAACCAAAAGTGGCATCAAAATACAAAATATCTAAGTACAAAAGGGTCACTTCTATCATTATGTGATTGGACT